TTGGTGAGAAACGATTGCAGGATGCCCCGGGATACACATGTGAGACGAAATCCTTGTCATCGAAAAGCTTGTTTCGTTACCGAGTTATGACCAAACGAAGAAGACGATAAGGGTGTGCGGAAAATTTTTGCCGCTACTGTAGATAATCGACTACGCTGAGCATAGTGGGAACATTTGCTTTTGTGTAGAAATGAAAACAATGTCCCCAGAGGCATTTTTGTGAAAACCCGGTTTTTCGCATGTTACTATCAAAAATTAAAATCCTTATACCTACCTGAACACAAAACGCGTCGGTAAAATCATAATATCTGCATCTGTTCGGTAACAAGCATATAAGACAAAAATTGTGCTCTGTTCTGCTTTTCTTTCCATTCAATATAAGTGTCTACCTTGGATCATTTTTTTTAGTTAATAACAACGTAGAACATAACAGAATGTTTGTCTTAAGATGCAGAGTTATAGAAAGTCGTTGGTACTTATAAAGCCATACAATTTGGTCTTTCGAGAATGTATATCATTTCAGAAGCGAAAACTTTAGAGTTATAGTGGTTATTTAATAGGCTATTGATGAATGCCATATAATAAATTATCAATCCTCTATTAGACGGTGTAACGGGTTTGGCTGTAATGAGATCTATTGAACACAGAATAATCATCTTTTGCCATATCCAACTAGTTCGCAGATTTCTTTTAACTGGTTATAATTTCTAATTGATGGAATAAAACAGAATAGAAATAGCCCTAAAGATCAAATATCTAATACCAATAGAGAAGTAAATATGACTTTTATTCAGAACATTTTGACCTATAAATATTTTAACTACCTAGCCATCATACATTTCTAATAATAATAGATAACAGACTCTTCTCGTTCTAATTTGAAATCCACGCAATAGATGTTGAAAATCCATTCTATGTGGATGTAAATATGATTGTTGTAGTGCAGACATCCACAACGATGGATTTGTTATCAATTGTTAGTTGTTCTTGATTCGTGTCGTTTATTACACTATTTTCTAAACGTTCCGGTCTCAATATATATTGTCAATAAAATCCTCGTTCTAATTGATGTACTCTGTACGGTATAATTGTACCATACAGATAACGTCTGCATTCCAGTATGCAAAAACATATTAAGAAAAAAGCAATCGATAAATGGAAATAATATGGTAGGGTTTCTTGTGCTAATAGCAGAACTGTAAATGTTACTGTTGCTGAAACTGTCCAATTTGTTGTTGTATCGAGTACAATATACTACTGCCCGTGCAACTTCGCCACGATATTAGTGCGCCAGCGAACCTACGTAATCGTTTGTTTTAATTTCACTTGGTATTTTTGTTGCTACAGCAAATGGTCTTTCATATGGCATCGATAAATCGCATGTCAGTATTTCACTATCGTGTGTATCATGACGATATTTTAATTGCTAGTGTACTGTTGAATGCTGTTCAATCCGTTTTAATCTACTAACTACATGAGATATTTTAGGTCAAACATCATATTCGGAATCAGGATCAAAAATTGAGTCGACCAATGTGTATTTCGAAATTTTTACTTCATTTTCATTTTTCGTAAAAATCTCCGTAATTTTTCAGCGTGAAAATTCGACAAAAACTAAAGTAGTCGGATAGGATGGAAATATACATTAGTCGGCTCAGTGTTTGATCCTGATTCCGAATATGATGTTTTTATCGCATAAAAGTCGAGTTCTGATGGAGAAAATTAAAAATTACGAGTAAAATTCTGACTTTGTAGAAATATTTCTAATGTCAAGATGTCCTAGGACACCTTTTTCTCTACATTATATGTATTATATTGTAGCTCGATAAATTTTCTGTCGAATAGTATATTTACTATGGTGGCCGAATGAGAAATGTTGACATAGAATATCTGAGACTTTTGCAACAAATATTCCTTTAAAGCACTAAGGTAGGTGGAAATTATTATACCAGCCAAGTATTTCGATTATTTACACATTTGAGCATATTTTTGAAAGACTTGCTTATAGCTCATTTTGAAGCCTGAATAATTCTCTATCTTTCCATGTATAAAACATTTCGGGTCTAAGTAGAATCAAATTTCGGGTCTAAGTAGTCACTCAGAATCATAGTGGATCATTTTTCAGCAGAAACCGATACCCGTCCTTTGCATCTACGTATTGTCGAACTTCGAATTGCAATTCGACTTTTGACCTTTACATATACGCAATACCTCATGTAGTAAGGAATATTAACTAAACGTCTGTCAAGTGGGTGAGTTCGACTAATTTTGGCCAGGGAAGTCTTAGTATATTTCCTACTCACACAAAAAATTGATTAGGAAAACAAATTTGTGACCTAATAACAATACAATCTAAGTAACGAAAAATAAAAAACAGTGTAAAGTAATTTTTTTTCCCATTATCAAAAGCGTTTACTATTCAAATACCACGTAATACAACTCGATGAACTGCATCCCGCATCTAAGACAAGAAATCAAACGCAAAATTTATGTTTCATTCTCTTCGCTCTTACTCACTGGGGTTCCAATAAAAGGTGTTTGTTGTGCTTTTGAAAACAGCGTTCCATTATCCATAGTTGTCCAATTTATGATTCACATAGACCTCAACATAAGTATCATCTTGATCAGGTAAATTAAATAACGTTTTGGATTTATGTACATTTTATCGATTAATTTTTGCATTGTTAATTTTCTATTATTGACAGCTGCTAACATTAATGATAATGATGGCTGAATACCCGGAAAATGTGGTGGTACTGTGACAATCCGATTAGGTTTTACTTCTCGAAGCCCATTGAATTTTCATAATAATTAAGAATATATTGTGTATTATTCTGATATAAAAATAAATGATGTGGCGTTACTTAATATCATCACAAAAGTTACATGCATTACTAAAATCTAATAGTTGTCTCTAATGAGGTTGTAGAATATCAATTTTTTCAAGTCCGTGTGAAAATTTATAACGATTTTCAGCTTTATCAAAATTTCGTCTCTTTATTTAAATAGCCACACACACTATCAGAGAAGACTAAGAATTCTATGTGTATGACGCAGAGAGGAGAAAGAAGGAGAACGAGATGTGATATATGGAGAACAAAACTGAATGACCTTGAAGTGAAATTCACACGTTCGTGATGAGTAATGTAAATACTGAGCGGATAAGAACTATGAATGAACGAAAATTGAGTTAGAATTGAAAATGGATTGACCATTAAACAGATAAGACTGATAATAAAAATTGTATAGTTGTTGAAAGCCCAGAGTGGAAGAGTATATTATAGTAGCCACCAGACCCTTTCCTAGGATTTCTGTTTCTATTCGACAAATTTGATTTTGCTCCTTCAGAATACACGTACAGTGGTACTGAACGATCTGTACAATTAAGCATCCAGATCAAATGGGACGGTGCGTTAACGGACGGTTAACGGCCAGTTTACGGTCAAAACGGCTCGTTAACGGTGTGAAAACGGCATAAAAACGTTCCGTTAACGTCACAGTAAACTGGTCGTCTCAAGGGCGTCAGCGCACGATCTAAAAACGGATCGTTTATTGGTGTGACTAACGACGGTCAGTTTATGATATAGAACATATACTTCACTCAGTCTTGATCTGATTGATTTGATTGATCTCGTGATGGCGTTCAATAAATGCTTTTGTTTATTGAGCTTCGATCTTGACATTCCATCGGCATCGCCATGAGTGCTTCCTTTCTTGTATTTGACATCGACGATTTGCGGAATGATGTCTTGATTTTTGAGGAGCCATTCTTCGATTCGTTTGCTGTTATATTTATTCTTTTTGTGAAATTGGTCCAATGGTTTGTGATCCTTATGGATGATGACGTCGCTTCCACCCAAATATTGTTCCAATTTGTTCATGCATCAAAAGATGGCTATTGCTTCACGTTCGATTGTCTTGTAATTCTTCTCAGTTGACGTCAGCATTCTAGAGAGAAAATAATTATAATGCGTTTTCCCATCTACAATTTGTTTTAATGCGCCGCCAATTGGATAATCAGATGCATCTGTAGCCAGAATGAATGGTGAGGTTGGATGGGATATCCTAAAACCAATGGTTCTTCGGTTAACAATTGTTTTAATTTTTTGGCGGCTGCAATTTGTTCATTATACCAATAGAATTGTCGTTTCGTGCTCCTTATTTTGTTTGTAACCTTGTGGATAGGGGCAGCGATTTGAGCAAAATTTGGGATGAATTTCCTGTATCATCCGATTTTCCCAATGAATTTGTTAGCTTGAGCTAATGTTTTCGGTTGAGAAATGTCGATGATGGCTTGGATTCGCTCCTTGGATGGAATGATTGAGTCTTTTGTGATCGTATGACTTAGGAAATCAATTGTTTGTTTGCCAACGAACATTTGTCCGGATTCAATATGAATTGATGCTCATTCAATACCTCTTGGAGATGTTGCATATGTTCATCAAATGTATTTGAGAATATGAGAATATCATCAAGGTACACTAGGACGTAGTCCCACCGTTTGTACCCAGTGATGTTATTCATCACGCGTTGAAAGGTTGGTGGAGCATTCATTAATCCCATTGATAACACTTCAAATTGATACAAGCCGTCTTGAGTGACAAATGCTGTCTTTTCCTTGTCTCGCTGTTGGATTGGAATTTGGTAGTAGCCGCTCTTCAAATCTAATTTTGTGAACCACGAATGATCACCTGGGCGTTGTAATAATTCTTCTACTATCGGTTGAGGATAAGAGTCCTTCTTTGTGATTGAATTGAGTTTTCGATAATCGACAATGAAACGAAATTCACCATTTGGTTTTTTCAATAGGATCACTGGTGACGACCATGGAGAATGCGACGGGACGATGATACCATTTCTCAACATTTTATCTATCTCTTGTTGAATATTTTTACGTTGTTCGATGGTCTTGAAGTATGGTTTTGCATTCACTGAAGGATGATCGCTCGTATTGATTACATGATGAATGCTCGTCTTAATTGTTCGTGGTTGGAATGTGTCGAACAATACGCAATGTTGTTGTAGCAGATTGAACAAATGCTGATACTGTTGGACATTGGCGCTGAGATGTTGAGACAGTGTGTCAATGAGAGTATTCGACGGTGCCGTCTGTTTTAGTTTTTGATATTGATTATCCTGCTGCATTGTTGTTTGAGAGGGAACCGATGTTGAAAAATATGTGCTCAATGACAAGCGACGAATTGTGCCCAATGTCGTATTCTTTGGGAGTGTTACCATTCGTGTCGTTGGATTAAAGACAGTTAATCGAATGTTGTTGTTCTTCACCAGGACTAACCCGTCACCGAGTCGAATTCATTTGTATTGTTGTGTGCTCTTGTCAATGGCTTCGAAGAAAATGTTGTTCGCATCTCCAATATCGGATGTTGTGACATTCACTACACATTCAGCTCGTGGTAGTATCGTATACTGTGTGGTCAATCGCACAGTACTCGGTCTCTCGTCAGCAAATTTTACCCATGTTTGTCTCTGTCGATCATGAATGACAATACACTCCTGTGCCGTTCTGATCTCTACCCTAAACTTTCGAATGAAATTCATACCTAAAATCAAATCGGCTGCCAAATCATCAACTACCATTGTTTTTATTTCACACTTGAAGTCTCTTATCTTCAATTTTAAATGGATCCACCCGTATCGGATCACTGTTGTTTTTGAATCGCCCAATGTGACCTCGCCCGTTTGTTGATAAATTTGATGTTGTTTATTCGATTTCATCACAGTTGACATTGTAATAAATGAGGATGTTGCTCCCGTATCTACCATGGCACAAATGTTTCTGTTGTCGATTATAGTTGGAATAAAGATCAATGATTTATTATTTTCCCCAGAAAATGTTGGTGTCTGCTCTAATCTTTTTGTAGTTAGTGCTGCTATAATTTTATCTGTCATATCGGAGTCTTTTGGACGATAAATCCTATGTTGTATATATTGATAATTGTTCGTTTGATCTAATTCAATACCACCCAGTCGACTTGTTTCTTATTTGAATCTTTGTATTTGTCTCTTCTCTTCTAAGTTTCGTTGATAGACAACCCAGTTTGTTGCAGCCTGCTGATCGGTGGTACCTCTTGTGTTCACCAGTTTGTTGAACAGTTGATTGAATTGTATATCACCACCAGAAAGCTCAATCCCTTTCACTCGGGAATCTCTGCCAATGCGAATCTTCCGCTAGATAGTACGCCCAGACTCACGAAGAGAACTTCTTAAATTTTTCTTGTTATTGTGCTCTTGGATTGACAATAACACCGGCTAGTGCACCACTGTTAGGGTTCGTTCTTTCTTATGTATAAGACCATCGTTTATTAACAAACAAAAAAGTTAACCTTTAACAATAAAACTCGATCTATTTATACGCGCAATAATCTTGACTATAATCTACGCAATAACCTTGACCACAGCCTTGCACCATGAGCTTGAATATATTCTTGTGCAACAACTTAGACTATATGCTTGCGCAATAACCTTGAGTAAGATCTTCTGCCTCATGGCACGACTCTAGTACGTGACATAACAATACCTTAAAAGATTCTCTAGAAGCCCGGCTTCAAAAGTACATCGAGCTTTTTTTTGAGGTTCCTTTCCATCGCTGAAAACATTCATTTCTTCTAAACCAGACTTTATTTTTCCAGGTGAGTTTAGGAGAAAATAAATTGAAAAGTTTTCCAAAAACCGTGTAGGGGACCTCAGACGTCGAAAACTCGACCAAGAGATTTTGCGAAGCTTAATGTGTGGAAATGTTCCTAGGCGTCCCATGACATGATTCCAATACAAAACCCAAAGCTTGTTGAGGCCAGAAAACGTTCTTGTCCGCCTCGTCGTCCTCCGTTAAAAATAAAAACTGACTAGTAATCACAATACATCATAAGTTACCTTTTTTTTCTATGTGTGTTGATATGAATTGTATCGCTATGTTATTCATGTATGCTATCCGTTTTTAGATGTGAAGATTTTCATCGATGATTGTTGTTCTTCGTTTAAAAATGTGGTGCACGTTCATTTTCCTTTGTCATTTCACAGAATGAAAAAAATGTTTGTTGATACACAATCTCTTGCTTTGTTTGATGTGCACAGGTAAAAATCTGTTTCGATAACAAAAAAGAAAGAGTTTATTTTTATATGACTCTTATTAGTGGAAAGAAGATGACAGTTGAGCAAAAGATCAATACCGACGATGATGATAAAAGAAGGCACTCAACAGCTATTATACGGCATGGTCAACAGTTTAAGTTTAAACTGAAGAAAAACGCTTACTGTGAAAAAGTAAGAATAAAACAGTCAGCTAGGGAGAAAATTGAGAACTTTATCTGGTAAATAGTAAATCAAGCTTCTCTCGACGGGAAAATGGTAAAACAGGAGGATTAAAAATACGTTTAGATTAATTAATAAATTTAATTACATTAAAAATGCGAAACTACACACCACAAGCCAGCGGGAACAATGTATGCTTTCTTTGCTGTAGAATTGACTGCGTGTAAGCTAGGATTGCTTGAAGCTTCTAACCACCGTCTACCCCTACCAAGAACCGTGGACCCTCTTCTCAGTAACCAAGGTGTAAGGTTTCGGCCTTGACGAAGGACCTCTTTACCGGCGCAGTCTTCTTACTTTGCAGAAAAGCCGTCACCTAAGTACAAACATAAAAAGAGTTTAAAAAAATTAGAAATCAAAAGCTCTCCAAAAACCCTGTAGGGAACCTCAGGCATCAAAAATCTGACCGAGAGCTAAATGTGTGGAAATGTTCCCAGACATCTCGTGACATGATTCAATTGCAAAAAGCCAAACAAAACATTTTTGGAACCGGAAAAGGCGCTTATCTGTCGTTCTCCTTTTGGTTCCGTAATCTTGTGAAAAAAAAATTTTCTTTCTTGCAGGTAATAGAAAAGTGACAATATAAAACTCAAAGAATTAGGTAAGAGGACGTGTGATTCTTTTTGAATGATGAAACCATCACAGTACAAAAAAAGCGGCGAACAAATTTAACTTGTTTTAAACCGAAATTCGATACTCGTCGTTGATTCTGAGCTGTTTTATTTTGAATGAGAAGCGACATCTTAGTGGCTTAAAAAATGTAAAAAAGGTCTGCGTTTTTCGAGTTTCCTATGCTTTTTTAAATACAAACACAAGAAATATTCGCTTTTCAAATATCTCATAAGATGCCACACCTTTGTTCAAAAAGCCGTGATTTTTTTAATTAAAAGTTCGAAAAAGTAACCCTTTTTTTGTCTTTTTTGAGTTGTTTTTTAAGATTCAATATACGATATGGGAACTCAAAATTCAAAAACATCTAATAGCTCCTCACCCAGCACTGAAGATGGAGATGATGAGAAAAATTTGGAAATATTTTCCCTAGTGTGGTTAGATAAAGATGTTAACAGAACCGACGATAATTTACAAATACAAGAACAGTTAAGAGAAACAGCAATTAATTATCTTAGAACGTTTGATAATATTGGCACATGTGAGCAATGGATTAGACGACGACAGTTGCAGGACGATAAAATAATTCTCATTGTCTCTGGTAGTTATGGCAAGGAAATTGTACCGTGTATTTATAATTTACCAAAATTAATTGCTATCTACATTTATTGTCACGATAAATTGACACATGAACAATGGTCACAAAATTATAAAGATAAAGTAAATTAAGAAAAGGTGGATGTTTGTGTGTGAAAACATGTAGCTCAGATTCTACTGAACAATAAATGCGTGTAGTGTCATTAACTGTTCTATCCAACTTCTCATTAGTTAGCAAAGTCGTTTTTCACTTTTAGGTTTGTGGTGTCATAACAGATTCTGATGAATTAGTTGATAGAATTACAAAAGATCAAACATATTTTGAAAAATTAGAAGAGACAACTTCCATGTTCATAACCACCATTAGTAATCCTTCATCTTCCAACGAAAAATCCTCATCTAAATTAAACGGTAATTTCTTGTGGTCTCAACTGCTCATCGAAGTGCTACTGCATATGAAACATACAACCAATAATCGTCGAGAATTAATTAAGCTATGTCAACAAATGTATGTCGGAAATGCAGGTGAACTTCAGACATTGAAGGAATTTGAACGAACATATTCACCAGAAAAAGCAATTTGGTGGTATACTAAGCAGAGTTTTGTTTACCGCATGTTAAATAAAGCCTTGAGGACACAAGATATTGACGTACTGGTAGCATTTCGGTTTTTCATCACCGACTTGTACAATCAATTACAAGAACTACATCAAAAACAAAATCGCGACACTATTCGTCGAGTCTATCGTGGTCAGTTGATGTCAAAATATGAATTAGATCAAATGAAATCGATAAACGGCCAATACCTGTCGTTAAACAGTTTTCTTTCAACCACACTCAATCGAGAAGTAGCAGTTGAATTTATTACAACTGCACCTGTGACAGATGATTTAATTGGAGTTCTGTTTGAAATTGATATCGATCCAAAAATTAAAAATATTAAACCGTATGCAAATATTTCTTTTAACAGTTTTTTCCAAACAGAAGCCGAAGTTCTATTTATGTTAGGTTCAATTTTCAAAAATCGGAGTATAACTCAGAAAGGTGGTATTACGATCATAAAACTTCAGCTGGCAAGTGAAAATAATTCAGAATTGAAGCAATTATCGGACTATATGAAAAGTAATTTGGAAAAAGAACGAAATCTTTATTCATTAGGTCATGTGTTGATAGGCATGGGTGAATACGCCAAAGGTTCGAAATGTTTTAAACGACAATTAAGTGGAATAGAAAATAAAAATTCTGGTGAAGCTGGCCTCTGTTATACAGGTAACAGTCTGGGAGAAAATATTGACGCTTTAACAGAGAATCAAATGTTTTCACAATCTTATCTTCTAGGACTTGGAATTGTTGCTGATCATGCAAATAACTTCGAGC